CTTAAATTCAACTTTTGGTCTAGACTTTGTCGTCTAGATTTTTCATCAAGACATTGTCGCTATGAGCGTTGCACATGAATGGTACAACAGCATAAAGGCATTTGCTATGAATCAGCCCTTCATTGAGAGTTTTTCATCTCCCAGTATTTGCAGTATTTGAATTTTTTGTTTTCCCAGTGTTAAACAGGGAACAGAATACTGAAAATAAAGAAAACCAACACAGGTATAAGTAGTATACGTAGACGGTATGTGGAGTAACCAATCAGACCGCAGTATTTTTGAATGGACCAATCAGAAAGCCGGATGTCGTTCACGTCACCATAATAGGCATTTTTGACACAGCCACACATCCCTTGACGTCACGACCTGAGAAGGGTTTGACGTCATCAAAAAAGCCCTACGTCACAATGGAGGACCTGGGAAGGGTTATTGAGGCACATTCTGGGGTGAGCAGGAAAAAGCAAGAGACAGAGAGGTATTTTTCAATGAAACTCAATTTAATTTTATGATACTAGAAATTTACAAAGGGGTCATGTGTCAATCCATGATGGAAGACGCCCCGAAAACCTTTTAAAATACAAAATATTTTTATACCCCTACTGGCCCTGTCCCACCAAAAGGTGATCCGTCCGAAGACGCGCCGGCCAGTAGGGGAAAACTACGTACATATTTACAAATTTTTCAAAAACTTTTTAACTTCAAAATAACAAATATTTTTTTACCCCTACTGGCCCTGTCCCACCCAAAGGTGATCCGCCCGAAGACGCGCCGGCCAGCAGGGGAAAACTACGTACATATTTACAAATTTAATAAATTGTCGACATCATCTAGATTGACTTTGGTGTATCCGTACGGATAGGACTCGAACGAATCGGGATCCGCGACACGCTTGCCAAATACGATGGAGAAAAGGGAAGAAATATTGAACAGCAGACTATGGTTAAACGAAGCATAGTGTTTGTGGTGTTGGGTTCTCTCAAATCTGTTATAGAAAACCTTGGACTCGTGATTCCTCGAAATAATTGCGGACAAACGAGCGGTTAAAGAAAAGAAATCTGTACAGGCCCGCAAATGATCTACTACTGACAATAATTAAATGCACTTTGCTTCATGAGGCACTGAACTCGATCTCAGATGCAATTCTTCTGACTAAATACCGGTACATGGGTACATCAAAACAGTACGTATCCAGCAGTTTACAATTTTCTTCATTATTTACTCCATTCTCTAAGACCGAGATCATCAAACCCTTGGCTTTCATCTGAATAGATTTTTAGTGTTCTTCTGATTGATGAGTTTCGTTTTCTCATCACTTTTTTGTTCAATGATTTCAACTTTTCTATGGAGTTAAAGTATTGTCCGTCGCTGAAGGAGAACGAGAGACACC